TTCCTGAAAAAGTTGGCCAGTCTAGACACAGCCGGGATGTGTCAGTGGCTACCCCATTGCTACTACCTCTCGCACATCATCAACTGAACCGAATCAAGTTTTGTTTGTTCAAATTCTGCTCTGTTTATGAACAATCGAATTGCACAGGTGTGTGAGCAGAACTTATCTTGTACATCCTCCATTGCCAAAAGTGATGCCTGAGAAGGAAATCATGCAGATTAACTTTTAGATTTTAGGTGAATTTGCAGCATGTCAAAGCACCAGTTCAGCAGAACATTTAAGCCCGTGCTTAATTCAACACAAACAAGTAGACTCACTGACTTTTAATGAGGCTACTCACACTGAAATGTTTTGTTGTACTGAGGCAGTGGACAGGTTTGATCTGAACATTATTGCAACAAACATTCCAGATGGTTTAAAACAAAACAAGGCTACAATCACTTCTCAGAGTACAGCTACATTTGAAAGCGAAATAGCGAACCTGCACTGGAAGAGCATTTGGGGGGTGCGTCTAGACTGGCAAGATTTTGCGCAAAAGCAAGTGCTTTTGCGCAAAAACTTGCCAGCTGTCTACACTGGCCGCTTGAATTTGTGCAAGAACACTGACTTTGTAATGTACAAAATCAGTGCTTCTTGCCCAAATACTTTGATGCTCCCGCTCAAGGATAAGTCCTCTTGTGCAAGAATACTTGCACAAGAGGGCCAGTGTAGACAGGCACCTTAATTTTTTGCGCAAGAAAGCCCGATGGCTAAAATGGCCATCGGAGCTTTCTTGCGCAAAAGCGCGTCTATACTGGGCACGGATGCTTTTGCGCAAAAGCACTTTTTGTGCAAAAGCATCCGAGCCAATCTAGACGCTCTTTTGCGGAAATACTTTTAACGGAAAAACTTTTCCGTTAAAAGTATTTCCGCAAAATCATGCCAGTCTAGTCGCAGCCAGGGAGACAAACTATTTACAGTCTAGGCAACACTGTACATCAGCATTTCAGAAGAGTTTACTTTTTACACTTTTTAAAATGTTTAAGAGCTAACGGAGCTGTAAACTGAGCCTTGCAGACGGAAGCTTTCTGTTTGTGTACAAATAGCACAATGTAGGCGCAAGCTTCCTCACACACAAGTCAATGTGCTTTGTCTTTGTTCTGGAGAAGGCATACAAGCAAATTAAATTTCAATCTCTATTTCAAACAATTTAAAAATCCATCTACAACAAGAAATGGGATAGCGGCACTGAGTTTTGAAGAGTTATTTCAATAAACTATCAGAGGAATCAAATGATTGTAGCCATATGGAAAATTCTGGCCTGTGCAAACTAGATCTACTTTAAAATACCAAGGTGAAACAAGTTTGCCCTTTTGATGCAGACACCTTCTATTTCAATAGCTACATATTGATGCTACATGTCAATTTCCCACAATTCCATAAACATTAAACTGTATATTACTTCTGCATAGCATCCAATTGGTGACACTGCAGATTTTTCTGAGACAGCTGCAAATAGCTTATAATTAACATCTGAGCAATAAAAACAGGTAGGAGGTACTTTCGCAGGTGTCTGAAGATTTGAGTGGCTCTTCCAAAAGTTTGGTCAGATTACAAAATGAGAATGCATTTCAGTATTCTTCATTTTTTTTAAACTGAAACCACAAACCTACTTAATTACAGCTAAACCTACTTATTCTACAAAGTGCTTCCCCACAGACTTATGTTTTTATGGGAATTCTGATAAACCACCAGTATATGGAACCACAAAATTCAGCCAAATTTAGTTAGCAGGGAATGGCAGAGCAAGAATGGTTTCTGCCTTAATCAGGACCTCTCCACCTTCCAAAATTAGAAGTTCCATAAATAATACATGTTTCTCAAAGGAAACCTCCACATAGGAAGAATGGAAGATTTCTGCCCTAATGTTATATTTTGCAGTCATTTAAGTACTAGGAAATGTCTAACATCTAACAAAGCACTCCATTTGATGTTGTGAAGCGGGTCTCCCTTTGAATTACAGCAACTTCTTACCCCCCTTGAAAGAAACCATGTACAGTAAAACTCCAAGGCTGTGTCTACATTGGCACCCTTTTCCGGAAAAGGGATGCTAATGAGACCAGTCAGAATTGCAAATGCCGCGGGGGATTTAAATATCCCCCGCGGCATTTGCATGAACATGGCTGCCGCTTTTTTCCGGCTCGGGGCTTTGCCGGAGAAAAGCGCCAGTCTAGACGGGATCTTTCGGAAAATAAAGCCTTTTCCGGAAGATCCCTTATTCCTCTTAAAATCAGGAATAAGGGATCTTCCGGAAAAGGCTTTATTTTCCGAAAGATCCCGTCTAGACTGGCGCTTTTCTCCGGCAAAGCCCCGAGCCGGAAAAAAGCGGCAGCCATGTTCATGCAAATGCCGCGGGGGATATTTAAATCCCCCGCGGCATTTGCAATTCCGAAGTGTCTCATTAGCATCCCTTTTCCAGAAAAGGGTGCCAATGTAGACACAGCCTATATGTAAAAGGTAAATGTATACAAATTTAATCCAATAATAATGCTTTCCTCAGAATCAACATGTGTCTTTAAGAGGTCACCTAGACCACATGGTTCTGCCATTGTTCTGTTCACTGTGCAGGTCCCCACATTTTATGTTCTAATCCTGGATTTTTGCCTCCTTACTCTCTCAGGCCACTAATTTACAGTTCTGTTATGAAATCCCATCTTTCTTAAGCAGATAAATACATACAGGACAGGTCTTTAAGAGGTTAGACTTCACACCAGCATGCCAGCCAGATTGCACTTGTGAGACTACCTTGGGTCATCAGTTTCAGTAATATAGGGAGAAGAGGAGAAGTAACCCACTATCCATGGTCCCCTGAAGATCACATTCTGTTAAAGGATGATATCGGTTTCCAATTCCTTAAGATAAGATGGTACTGAATGAGTTGACCCGGATTTAAATTAATGGAGATTACCTATCTCCTAGAACTGGACGGGACCTTGAAGGTCATCGAGTCCAGTCCCCTGCCTTCCCAGCAGGACCAAGTACTATCTCTAACAATTTTTGCCACAAATGGCCTCCGCAAGGTTTGAACTCACAACCCTGGGTTTAACAAGCCAATGCTCAAACCACGGAGCTATCCCTACTCACATGATGGAATCCTCCTAAGGTGGGCTTTTCGGTTGAGGATTGCAGGGGCGGGCGGGGAGGGGAAGCGACACTACCACCATGTTGCTCTTATGCTAAGCTTCACTAGCAGAAGTTATGAGCCTGCCAATGCTCACTTGAAGTCTTCAGGCCATCCGAACTGGCTTCCAGCTCTATGCCCGTCACACTAGGGAACAAAAATCCTGGGGGTTGATTGCCAAGGACAGGTGAAGTTAGCCCCTGGCCTGTGTTTCTGCCTGGGAATGTCCCAGAGGAGGAGATCACTGAAGCTGTGAGCTCTGACTTTGCAGCTAAATTGAATGTTTTTCTGCAAAAAGAGGGAAAGTCAGTGGAAGATGTGAGGACCATTGTTACTCCAGCATCTATGCCATCAGCTGTCACAAATGAAGGTCTGATAGCTGCTTTAGGAAAAATGATGGAACGATATACCCCTCCCTCCTATGAAGGAGTTGGATATCAGAAGCTGGGATTTTTCTCTGGGATTCATCCTACCCCTGTTGGAGAGGATGACTTTGAATCCTGGATGGACCAAGCTGTCCAGATGGAGGAATGGCAATGTTCAGATACTATGAAACGGCAACGACTAGCTGAAAGTCTGAGGGGACCAGCCTCTGATGTCATTAGATCCTTACGGACAAGTAAACCCTCTGCTGGTGCTATGGAGTATCTCAATGCTTTGGATGATATTTATGGGACTACACTTGCATCATTATGTTGCTGTAATGTGCTCTGCAAGGGGCTGTATGGTGCATCACTCAGAAACAGAAGCAAGAAATGCTGCATGCATTCCAGTGCTGCCAGCTCTCATGATTTTTTGCCTGTGACATGATTTTGGCTGGGGCTGAGGCTAGAGCCAGTCTGGTGATGACATATGCTTCAGCCCTCTAGCAAATTTGAACTCTCTGATTGCCTGCCCTCTTGCTGCCCTCTAGGGCAGAGCAACCAATCAGAGCACCTACAGGAAGAGCTCTTTCTGCCCCTCCCCTCAGCAAACCCCAGGAGATCTTCCCAGGAAAGAGGGGATTAAATAGTCAATAGCTCAGCATGGCACCACTCTCTCTGCCCCCTCTCCTTCTGTGAGCAATAGTAATGGGACATTCACTTTGCCAGTGGCGGATATAGGGCAGGGCGAGCGGAGCGGCTGCCCCGGGCCCCGCGCTTCAATAGGTCCCGCGCCAGGGGTGGACTGGCCCAGCAGGATACTGGGAATTTCCAAGTGAGCCATCCGCCGAAGAACTGGCTGGCAGCTGCTGAAGGAGGACGGGGATTGTGACGAGGCACCGCAGTCCCGCACTTTAAATTCCCCAGCACCGGCCAGTATGGGCCATGTGGGGCTGAGGGAGCGCATGCACCAAATGCTGAAACGCTGTGCAATAGCTGAGAGGGGAGACGCCCGGGTGTGGCTTGATGTCACGGCCCAGGACTTTAAAACTGCATGGCCCAGCATTGCACCACTCCATTCAACACGTGGTCTGGAGCCTTGGCCAGGGTTGTGGCTGCCCTGCAAACTGGAAGGCAGAAGGTGGATGGCAGAGGAAGGGGCTTGTGCTGAGGGGAGGGGGGCAGACAGGAAAAGAAAGGGGAAGGCACCAGGGGACAGCATGGTGGAGAGACAAATACCGGGGGCCAAGTGGAGACAATGAGGAAAAGGACAGGAGGGGAGGTGTCAGTGGGAGGGGGGACAAGGTGATGCTGAGAGAGGAGAGGAGAGGGGAAGGGCACTGGGGACTAAAGGGGGGAGGGGAAGGTGCTGGGAGAAGGCTTGAAAGGAGGGGTGGGCATGAGGAAGATGGGGACGGAGCAAGGCATGTGTGAGGGCACAGGGGCATGAAGGGAATGGGGGCAGAGAGTGGTGAGGGAATGGGCATCAGGGAAAAAGAGGGCAAAGGGTGCAGGGGCAGTGAGGGAAGGGGAAGGCACCAGGAGGGTGCAGGGTTAAGGGAAGATGCAGGTGCCAGGGGATTCTGTGGGTGAAGCAGAAGGGCAGACACCTGCAGGGGAGGGACCAGCACCAGAGGAGAGAGGCAGGGCAGGTGTGTAGAGGGAGGTTTTAGAAGAGGGGTAGCTCACATGATCAGAGTGGGGCTACTGGAGGAGTGGGCACAGAGGGAAGAGAACGGCTGGTGGAGTGGGGCAGGTCGCAGAAGGGCTAAGGGCAGTGTGAAGGGCAGGAGTCAGGACAGCAGAGTAGGGTGAGGAGTTGGGGGGCAGCAGGCACCAGGGGAGATGATGGAGCAAGGAGAGGAGACAAGAGGCCTGGACAGAGTCTGCAGCCAGATGTTCCGGCTCCTGGCAGAATCCTAGCTAAGAGAGGTGGGCGGGGTGAGGAGGAGGAGGGGAGAGCCAGACACCGGAAGCAGCATTGGACTGGGGAATCGGAGCGGGCTGGGGAGAATGAGGGGGCCGGTGGAAGCAGGGCTGCTTGGTGGGGGGGGGGGCGAAGTTGGGGGCAGGGAGCTGACTGGGAAAGATGTGTGGGGTGGGGGAGAGAAGCGGCCGCCGAAAGGAGGGCTGGACGCAGGCAGCAGGGCCGGGGC